ATATAGGGATGGCCGGTGCGCTCACTGGCTGAACCTGGTGAAGACCACACCGTACCGAGGGTTGCGATCCCCTTACCGGTCAAAAAAAAGTACTTATACGGAAAATGCGAACGTAGAATATCACATGTGAAATCCTCTGGTGGCCACCAGAGGGCACTGCAACCACACCGCCGCCCTCCATTCTCTGCATCCATTTCCCTTTTTGGATTCCAAAGACAATGGCCAAAGGGGCTAGGAGTGCCAGGTACAGCATCTACTCAAAAACGAAAGCTGAGGGTTGAACGTGCTGGATGTGGAGGAGGGCTGGTGCGATCTAGTGGCCAAGTGGGTGGCCAGGGGCCTGCTGGGGTGAGGAACCAATAAAGTCGGTGAAAATCACAGAATAAATAAATAAAAATAAAAAAGAGTGAAAGCTGAGGAGGAATTTGCAACAGTTCTTTCTTCCACCCACGTTTCCAGCTTAATCCCCTCTTCAGATCCCCATCCAATTGCCCAGCGTACCTTGGTGACTTTTCAAAGCCCTGTGTACTCCAAGTTCACCAAGGACTCACATTCACTCACCAGCCCATCCACCTTCCCTCCATGTCCCCACCTGCCCACCAATTCCATGCACTCTCTTGCTCACCCACTTACACTATCCACCCACTCAACTTCTACCCATCCTCCTTCTCATCCGCCCGGCTGCCTGGCCACCCACTCCCCTTCCGTCTACCCTCCTGCCCACCCATCTCTCCTCCCCACCCACCAACTGACGCCATACAAGCCCAGAGCTGGGGTACTCAGTCCGGAGGGTCAAGGACAGCAAGAGGTCAAACCAGGTGATAGAGCCAGTGAATTTCCTCAGTGGGCGTCAGCTTTTGTGTGCCAAGGTCAATGAAGGGTGAAAGCATTTAAAAACAGCAAGATCAACTATCTGAAAATGATTTTTCTTTGGATCTTTAAAAAATCCCACTGTGGAATTATGTTGTAGACACGTAATATACCAATTTATCACTAGCCCTTCAAGATGACAAGTAGGTAAAATTCCATAAATGTTTCAGCGCCTCTATACTTTGTTCCAATGAATTCGTGAGTAATAGATCATTTTGGCTATTACTCAGTAACATTTGAGACCTGCTTTCTGAGGGCCTAAGAAGCTCAGCACTGTAAGACCCAACTACAAAGTACTCAAGAAAACCTGACCATGAGGCTGTGAATAACGTCTCCTTCCATCACATCCAGATAGTGAGAGCTTGCTTTATTTCTGATATGTATCACTCTTCAGATCACTGGAATCTAGTACAGCACACCCAGAAAATCAACAGGGGCAAAGAGATCATCATACATATCTCTAGTTTGGTGGGTCCTTGGGTAACCTCTTTGCTTCTTTCCAGTTCTTCAGCTAAAAGATTCAGGAGCCTTAGACAGCACCAATAAAGTGTGTCCCACCAGTTGTGTTCTTCTAGATATTTGGATGCTTTTTAACAAAAGGAAAAAGCAAGCATCTTTGTTGGAATAATATATCAATATGTAAGGACACTATTGATTTCGTAAAAGCTGGATACACATCATGCTTCCCACATTAAAAAAAAAAAGCAATAAAAGACCTTTAACTATTTAATTTTTATTTTTTGCACAATCTGCTTTGTTTTCTCAAAATGTTATGAGCCAGAAGGGGAATTCACTGAGATTTGGCAGCTTTTTGGGTGGAGGATTGTAGTTAATACATTTTTACATTACTGGTATAGTAACTACCCAAATGGATGTAAGATTTTAAGAGCTAAACCATGACTTGCAATTTTTATTCCAACCTAATTAATTCCAATGTATGAAAAGTCCATTGTGGAAACATAGAAGATGCAAGAGAACTATTTATACCACCTCAATCAACAATTCAGTGATGGTCTGCATGCAATAATTAAATAGAACTCCAAAAAGTCCATTCATAGATTTTTGGACATGGTTAATTTATCCCCTCCTTTCTTTTTCATTAATTAATTAATTTAGTTATCAGGATATAAAATAAAGAAGTAAAAAATCTCTATTTCCATCCCCCCTTTTTGCTTTTTTTGGGGGGGGTGTTTTGAGTTCTATTTTTTATTCTTCTGATAGCTACCTCTTGAATTATAAAGATGATCATTTATAGCATTAAACACTTTTGACTCCCTGATGTGAAGGACAAAGAATTTATCTCACTCACACTTTTTCTCTATTTTTGTTAGTTATATTTTTAAAGAGAGTCTTTCTACTAGTTATCATTAAAACTTTAAATAACACGTCGAATCCTCTCTTCTTGGTGCATTGTTTTAAAAACTTCAGATGTAATTTACATACCATAAAGTCCACCACTTTACAATGTTCAATTCGGTGGATTTTAGCATAGTCATGGAGTTGTGCAACCAACACCACTATCTAATTTCAGAACATTTTATGGGGTCCGAACTCCTGATCTCGAGGTTCACCATGCTCTAACCAACTGAGCTATCTAGCCAGCCCCCAGAACATTTTAATCATCTCCAAAAGAAACTCCATATCTATTAACAGTCACTGTCCACATTCCCCTCCCCTTAGCCACTGGCAACGGTTATTCTGCTTTCTGTCCCTCTGGATTTGCCTTTTCAGGATATTGCAGATAAATAGAATCACACAGGATGTGGCTTTTTGTGTCTGGCTTCTTCCATTTAGTGTGTTTCCAGGGATCATCCATGTTGTAATGTGTCAGTATGTTGTTCCTTATGACATGTAGATGTACCAGGTTTTGTTTATACATTCATCAGTTGATGGATGTGTGTTGTTTCCACTGTTTGGCTATGATGAAAATGCTGCTATGAAAATTTATGTAAAGTTTTTATATAAACATATGCTTTCAATTTCTCTTGGGCATATACCTAAGAATAGAATTAAAAAGTCATGTTTAGCTTTTTGAGGAACAGCCAAACTGTTTTCCAAAGCTGCTGCACCATTTCATATTCCCAACAGCAATTCACACGTGTTCCACTTTCTCCACGTCTTTGTCAGCTCTTATTATTGTCTGTCTTTTTCATTGTAGCCATCCTAGCAGGTGTGAAGTGGTATCTCTTTGTGGTTCTGATTCGTATTTCCCTAATGACTGATGATGTTGAACTTTTCATGTACTTATACAAGGGTACTTCAAAAAGTTCATGGAAAGATTAATATTATCTTTTAATTCTATTTTTCCATGAATTTTTTGAAGTACTCTCATATATATTGTATATTGATGATATATCCTACAACGTTATTAAACTTGTTATTTATCAAAATTTTTGTGGATTCTTTAGGATTTTCTATATGCAAGATCAATGCCATCTGCAAATATAGTTTTACTTCCTTTCCAGTCTGGATGGCTTAAAAACAAAAACAAAAACCCAATCTGGATGGCTTTTATTTTTCTTTCTGGCCTAGGCCATTTACATTTAGTAGGATAATTGATATGGTTAGATTTGACTCTGTCATCTTGTCATTTGTTTTTTACTTTCCCCTTCTGTTCTTTGTTTCTTTTTTCTTCTTTTTCTGCTTTCTTTTGGAGATGAATTTTGTTTTTGTTTTTGTTTTTCCTCTTTTTTTTTTTTTTTTGGCTTTTTAGCTGTAATTTTTTTTTTTTTTTCCCCTTTTTTTTTTTTTTTCCCCTTTTTTTTTTTTTTTCCCCTTTTTTTTTTTTTTTCCCCTTTTTTTTTTTTTTTCCCCTTTTTTTTTTTTTTTCCCCTTTTTTTTTTTTTTTCCCCTTTTTTTTTTTTTTTCCCCTTTTTTTTTTTTTTTTGGCTTATTAGCTGTAACTTTTTTCTTTTTCATTGCTTTAGGGCTTATCAATGATGATTAGTGATGTTGAGCATTTTTTTGTATGTTGTCCATTTGTATGGCTTGTTTTGAGAAATGTCTGTTCAAGTCCTTTGCCCATTTTTAAAAATCAGGTTATTTGCTTTTTGCTATTGCTGTTTTTTGAGTTCCTTATGTATCTTGGATATTAAGCCCTTATCAGATGTTTTAGTTGCAAATATTTTCTCCCAATCTGTAGGTTGTCTCTTCACTCCTCATTTAATTGTTTCCTTATACCTGGTAGTCTTTGATTGCTTGCCAGATGTTGTAAATGTTACCTTATTGAACACCAGATATTTGTGTAGTCTTTATGATCTGTTAGGCAGCTCCAGAGCATTACTCACTCTATGGTTAATTATTCTCCACTACTGTGAATTATGAGTTGTTCCAGTCTGGCTGATTGGGAAAAGGCCCTGGCCCTGACCTGGTGTGAGTCCAGGCACAATTATTGCTGACTACTTCTCTGCTGAACACTTGGGGGGACCCTCTGTAGGTCTCTGGGGTTCTCTCTGTGCAGCTGTCTGTTTTCTGGTGTTCTGTCACTAAATTCTAGTGCTATGGTCTCCGTAGAATCACAGTTCCATTTCCTCAACTCAGGAGGTCCTCTGGGCTCCACCTCATTCCCCTCCCAGACCCACGGTTTGGAAGCTCTCTGAAAGCAGTAAGCCAGACAATCCTAAAAGGAGATACCTTGTTTCCTTCCTCCCTGGGATTTCATTGCCTTCATTATTGACTATCATTGCTTGATGTCCAGGGTTTAAACACCATTGTTTCATGTATTTTGTCTGTTTTGTTGGTGGCAGCAGTGGTGGTGGTGGTGGTTTTGGCGGGAGGGTAGTCCAGCCCCTGTTACACCATTTGTGCCAGAAGTGGGAGTCTCAGCATCATCAGTAACTTAAAAGCTCCTCAGGTGATTCTGGTGTGCAGCCAAGGTGAGACCCACTCGCACAGATCTTTTCTCTGCTTGAAATATTTTTCTCAATTGACTAGAATCTTCTTTAATTACTTCCCCCCTCCATTTTCTCTGTTCTCTCTTTCTGGAACTTCGGTTAGACAAATATTGAATGAATTGATTCTGACTTTTCTTTCATATTTTTCATTTGTTTGTTATTTTGCTCTATATCCTGAGAGGTGTTTGAAAACTTCCTCCCATACCTGACTTTAATTAAACTTTTAATTTGGGGGCTGGCCACTTAGCTCAGTTGGTTAAAGCACAGTGTTGATAACACTGAGGTCAAGGGTTCAAATCCCCTTACTGGCCAGCAGCAAAAAATAAATAACTAAAATTTTAATTTGTGCAATCATATTCGTAATTTCCAGAACTTTTTCTTGTTCTCCTAGTGCGATCTCTTCTTGTTTCGTGGTTGCGTTATCTCGTTTATTTGTTTCTTCCAGGGCTGGTTGTTTTGTCTATTCATCTTAATCCTTCAGGTGCCACTGAAAGTAAGAGGAGGCCCACGTGGTTCTCCGTGGCAGCTGGGTGTGTCTGGTTTCCCAGCAGGCCTATCCCTGCACAGGTTGCAAGCTCTGTTGGCAGGTGTGTATTAATTGGTTAAAACGCTACACTCAGATCATTTTAACCAATTAAAATGGTTCTTGTTCGCTTCCCCCTATCCAGGGACACTTGGCAATGTCTGGAGAAATTTTCTGTTGTCACAACTAGGGGGATGCTACTGGCTCCAAGTGGTGGGTAGAGGCTAGAGATGCTATCCGCCCCCCCCCCTTTTTTTCTTGGTGGCTGGCTAGTGTAGGAATCTGAACCCTTGACCTTGGTGTTATCAGCATCATGCTCTAACCAATTGCACTAATCAGCCAGCCCTGAGATGCTGCTAAATATACTACAATGCACAGGAAAGCCTACCACAACAAAAAATTATCTGTCCCACATGTCAGTAGTGCGAAGGTGCGGAAAACTCTGACTTCAGGCCATTTGAGCTCAGGCTGCCCCACCTCTCACCACCAAAGGCCAAGGTAAGGGGGGACCCTCCAGACCCACTTTAGGAACCTCCCCAGGCAGCTTGTTCAATTTTGTCTAGAAGAGACCTCCAGCTGATGGTTCACGAGATGCACATGGCCCACACTTGATTCATTTGTTTATTATAGGTAGATAGATTTATATATATCTATATTAAGAAGTTATCAACATTCTGGTTGATTTCAGCTAAAAATCCAGACTTCTAGCTTCTCTTGGAAAATCAGAAGGATGGACACAGCTGGTTGAGCTGAGTGGCAGCTGCCTCCAGAGTCGGGCATGTGGTCTCTTTCTACCTCCATCTCCTGGTCCACCTCCCTCACCTAGGTCACCTGCTTAGCCACTTCATGCATCTGAATTCATGACCCCTGCATTATCATCATCATTGTCATTGTAAGGATAATGTAAGGATACTGTAGGCACTCGAATGTAAGGATACCGTGGGCACTCAAGCAGAGGGGGAAAAGCATTCCCTAGCAATATGGCGCCCTTCCGGGTTCTTCTCTGCAGTAAACAAGCCTGTCGGCGCCAACACCCAAGCCCACCCGCGCCAAACCTCAGCCAGTCACAAGTCAGGGCTCACTTCCTGCCCAGCCCTGTCCAATCAGCTACCACCCCGTCCACCCCCTATCAAAACCCAGAATGCAGCTCCCTATAAATATACGCGCAGTCCTTGAATAAAGTGGAACTTCTCTGGCAAACTGTCAGCTCGGGTCCTGTCGTCTTATCAGCTAGGGTCTGTGCGCCCTTTCATTGGTGCTGAAACCCGGGAGGAGTTCACCCTGCACCAGGGGACTCCTTCCTTGGACTTCCTCAGACCCCTCCGTGACCCCCCCGGGACTGACGGTCCGCCCTCGTCCATTTTCTCTGGCTCTGGCTTCCTTAACCCACCACCGGCTCATTGGTTAGGTAAGCCCCCTTTTCCTTTTGTCAGGCTTGTAGATTATTTAAACCTTCACCCTAATCACATTACCCCGGCCCTGGCATTGACACGTTCCCGGCCCCGGAGGCTGAACCTCCCATTCCTCCCTCTCTCTCTCTTTCTCTCACTCCTTTTAACCTTCCTCCTACCGGGTCCAGGACCCCCGCTGTCTAGTAAACCCTAGCGCACTAGGTCCCTCTGGCTTCCGGCATTTTGCCTCCGGGAAGTGAGGGTCTAGGTGA